ATTTGAAGGATAGTGGATGATCTGATTTCCTTTTGGAGAAAACAATAAAATCGTTGATTAATGAAAAAATTTCCTTTTGGGAAAAACAAATAAAATACGTTGATTGATTAAGAAAAAAAAAAGCTTGGTTTGATTTTTTTTAAAACAATCAAAATTTGTAAATGACTTTTGATGTTTGCATGAAGCTTATTCTTCAATAGCGATAGACGAAAAAAAACATGAGGAAAAGATCAGGACAAAAAATTTTAATAATCGAAATTTGCAAATGGCTTTTGATTCACACGGGTTCTTCTTTGCGAAGGATCTTTTTTTCTTTTAATTAAGAAAAAAAAAGGCTTGGTTGATTTTTTTGACAATTGAAATTTTATTCTTTTGTGGGATAACAACCATTTCATTGGATTAAATTTATTCCATGATTTTTATTTGTGTAATCTAAAAAAAAATAAAATTAAACAGAAAAAGTAAACTGTTAAATACAAGACGTATGACGACATACGAAGCTTCCAAAGCAAGTTTGTAGAATCTGTTTGTAAAATATATTTAATGAGCGCTTTATCAATTATTCAGATAATTATATAGGCGGGCTTGATAGTAGTGTCAAATTCAAGATCTATTTGCAAATCAAGTTTCCAAAATGAACGGTTATTATTATAGGCGGGTTTGATTTATCAATTATTCAGATAATTATATAGGCGGGCTTGATAGTAGTGTCAAAGTCAAGATCTATTTGCAAATCAAGTTTCCAAAATGAACGGTCATTATTATAGGCGGGTTTGATTCCAAAATGAACGTTTATTATTATAGGCGGGTTTGATCAAAGTCTTAAAGTCGAGATCTACGAAGCTGTTTGTAAAATATATTTAACTAGCGTTTTATTATTATCAATCATTCAATAACTATATGTGCGGGTTTGATCGGACAAGATCTATATAATTAGATTGTTAATAATTAATAATGGAATTTTATTACATGCAAAAAAAATTTTTTTTGGGTTGTAAATTTTATTTTATTAAATAAATTTGTTTGATTTTTTCACACATCGTTCATGCTTCCTCTTGATCGTATAACTTAAATTGGTCGCGTTTACAATCATTTTGACATTCGTTATATTAAGGTTATTTTGATTATATCGAGAGGTATGGCCAGGAAAAGAGTTAGAAAGAGAGTTACTCTTCAACCAAGTCGAAAACCAACCCTTCAAATACATTTTCGAGTAGTACGATTTAATTTATTAGACTATTTCAAAGGTTTGTCGCATGCTTGCTTCCAAATTCTTAAATTCGAACCATTTGTTAACGAAACAACTGATTGTTGACAAAATGAATCAATTCGATGTTTTATGTTAATGTTTATTTTTACATTATCAAAATTCCCGATTTTGATTGGTCGATCAACAATTGCGTGGGTTAAAATTTTGTGTTACCAGAACGGTTCTCTCCTGTTATATGTAATAAATGATTGAATCAATTGAATCATGTATTTTTGTTATTGTGATTCTATGAAACGCTTGACGCAGTGGTATTTTTATTTTTTGACCATCTTGTATAACGTTGTATGATGATAAATGATTTCATGGTTTGAATGTGCTCACCATCTGCAAACTTGATTGCTTGAAGATGGACAGGGAGGTCGTAGAAAGTTGAGTTCCCGTGCGCTGAAATGGCCTGAGAGGAATTTCTCTACGAAAAAAAACGAAAAAAAAATGTGGGGACGGCCGTCCTATTTGTATTTTTTTGAATTGATAAAATAGACTATTATTGTCTTGACCTGAGTGATGTCGTTGTGTGAGTAAAAGACACGAACCTCATTGTCACGTTTTCGTTTAAAAACTTGTTTATTTCAATAACGAATTAATTTTTTTTTAAAAAAAATGTGACTTGTATATGACGAATAGCATCTTGTAAATTCATTTGTAACATATATGAGTTGATCTGAGAATCGACATACCGATATAGGAGTGAAGAGATGGGGAAATTTTCCCAACTTAATATCAAGCGCCAAACCTAGTACAGATTCTTATATTAATATTGATCGCTAATCAATGTTCCCATCCTTTAATGTGCAATTATTAAACAAAAAGTAGTTCGTGGGTGAAGGGAGGGATTACTTAAAGGGAGCCTAACAAAACAAAGCAACTAATATTCATCTTTCTTTGTTATACTTGATAGTTTTTTTTTTGAATTTTATTGTAGTAATGAAATTTTTAAAGTTTCTAAATATATCTTGAAAATCATTATATATATACTAAGCAGTAACCCTATCCTATATAATAATAGCTCAAGTTTTTTATTAATCCTTATTTAGTTAGAATTTAGCATTAATAATAATTCGTTTTTAATCATATGCAATAGCACGAGTTTTTTAATTATTGATTCGTAATCCAGTTACAAAATATGATTAGAAATAAAAACTCCACACTTTTGCATTATTTAACTTTTTAGCAAATACAATGTTAGACAACAAAAAATCACTATTCCAAAAAACTTTACTGTTTTTCTCTTTTTTTTTGATCTCATTGTTATGTAAAAGTTTTTTGTCTTCACTGGTTTGCTATGTTCAAGCTCGAGAAATTGATGGTAGCGATAATAATTCAAATTCAATTCAACCTTATCAAAGAGAATTTTCTTCCAAATCTTTTTACGGGTAAATTTAATTTTTTGATTAATTATTATTAACTAACCATGGAATTATAAATTCACGAAAAATCAAACTCTTTTTTTATTTACGAATAGACCAGATGGAAATCACTCTATGATTAAATGTCCATCCGATGTTGTTTTTACTAATCCAACCCTACCGGTTCCAAAATGTACCGATCCACTACCACCTGACAATTTCCCAATGCCAAGGTGTGTTTCAAATATTATAACTAATTATCACTCGGAAAATTTTAACGTTGAACAACAATTGCGTTATCGATCTAAAAGACATACTAGTCATACGGTAAAACATCACCATCATCATTATTACAAATTATTATCGTTATTGTTAATTCTTTTAAAAAATGCATATTTCGCAGGCATCATTTTTGGCTGGTTTCATTTTAAAAGATATTATTCAGTCGAAAACGGATACACCATCTATTCCGATCTACATACCAACCGACGACTCAATCTACAACCCGCCAACAAGTCAAAAATTTCAGGAATTTAATAGAACAAGCGATGAAATGAATCACGTCACACCGTTTCTTGACTTGAATCAATTGTATGGACTTAACACAGAGGAATCAAGGAAGTTACGTGATATTGGTAACCGAGGAAAATTAAAGATGGATGAGAAAAATTATCCAATGAATTATCCGACTAGCGATATGATCGGAGGATTTCTTAATCGAGCAAATAATATTTTCACACTTGCAATTCAGATCATTTGGATGCGTGAACATAATAGATTGTGTAATCAATTTTATGATGATCATGGTGATTCGTGGACCGATGATCAATATTTTGAAGAGGCTGTAAGCAATCAATTAAAGTTGTTTGAGATGATTATTATTATAACAATCTATTAACAATTATCTTATATTTGATTTAATTAGAGAAAATGGAATATTGCATTTTATCAAAAAGTAGTAACCGAAGAGTACCTTGGCATCATTCTTGGTAAACCATTGCCACCATATCAACAATATAATGAGAATCTAGTACCAGGAGTTGATCTTTTCTTCGCAACAATAACATTCAAATATGTTCACAGCGAACTTGGGTAAATCAATCAATCAATTATCATGTAATTTTCTAATTATAATCATTAATTATATAAATTATTGACGTTATTTATTATTGATGATAGCAATAATTATCATATACAAGATGAATTTGGAGAATTGCTTGCAGATCTAACATTAGATAACATTTTACAAATTCAATTGTTGGAAAAATTTGGAATGGAAAGAGTGTTAAGATCAATGTCCCTACAACATCAAGAAGAATTGGATATTTATTATTCCGATGCTATGAGAAATGCTACAACCATTGAACCGCGTATTTATGATATTGCAGCTTTTGATGTTTTAAGAGCCAGAGACAGAGGTATGACAACTGCATTTTTATGTATGTTAATATGCACATGTAAAAACATGAATATTTTTTTTGAAAAAAGACTTGAAATTTTGTAGGAATTGCTTTGTATAATGATGCTCGTCAAGCATATGGGCTAACAACAAAGAAAACTTGGCAAGGGATAACATCAGTTAAAATATTACAAGATTATCTGCAACAATTGTATCCTAATGGACCTAATCAATTAGAAACTTTCGTTGGTGCAATAGTTGAAGATCATTTGGATGGATCAAATTTTGGTGAATTAATGAGCATTAGTATGTTCACTCAGGTAGCCTTTATTTTCATTAATCACTAACTCATCAACACACCCACTCATTTGTGCTTTATTAAATTTATTTTATAGTTTACTAAAATCAGAGATTCTGATAAATTTTGGTGGGAGAATGGCAACATGTTTACTGATGTTGAAAGAGTTACCCTTAAGAGCACAACATTCAAAGATATTATTTTACGTAATCTGCCAGAAAATAACAAACCAATCATGCCACAAAATATTTGGACGGTTCAACCCCAATCAAAAACCACCAATTCTTCATCAGCTGTTGATGTAAATTATCCAAATAATATTCCTGCATGGTCACCATATGTTATTAAATATAGAATTGATGATTCTTTTATTCATTTCAAAATAACTTTACAAACTGATGATGGTGAAGGATGGTTTGGAATGGTGATTATTATTGTCGTTGCTGTTGTTGTTGTTGTTGTTGTTATAGTAATAATGAAAATTTGAGGGATTTAATCAACTAAATTTTGTTTAAAAAAATGTTTTTTTTTTAGGGGTTTGAGCCTGATGACATTGGAATGAAGGGAGCAGATTTTGTTATTGGCTTTGTAAGATTACAAAAAAATTTTTTATTAAAATTAAATTTTAATGAATAAATAAATAAATTGATTTTTATAGGTACGGGAAAATAAAATTGACATATTCAATTATCGATCATCATCAGCTGATCATTACCCACCTAATCGTGATGATAATTCAGATTTAACAAATATTAATTCAAATGTAAGTGATAGTTTAGCAACTATTGAATTCTCAAGACCATTATTACCTGATGGAAGACGCGGAATTAAGGATGGGCATGTTAAATGTAAGAAAAAATATCCTTTTAGGTGTTTGTATCTTTGGTGTTATAATAATATTATTATTTATATTTAATCACTTACTATTTTGTTTTTAGATATTATGGCTTACAATCCTGGAAGGTAAAAATATAATAAAATGAATAATTACACTAATAATGATATTTTTAATAATGATATTTTGTTATTATAAATAGTTCATCTTTTACTTATCATGGAAATAATCGAATATTGATAATGATTGATTTTTATAATAATAAAATAGAAGCAGTAAAAATAAAGGCAAGTCAACAGACAACAAAATATATACATGGAATTGGAATGTCATTTACCTGGAGGTAATCTTTTAATTAATCATTACTTGATCTATTCTTGCACAATATACTTACTTTTTCATTACATAAAATAGTGTGTTATTTCCAATATCAATTTTTATAGTTAGATTTTTTAAACATACAAATAACTATCTCAAGATTCATCGAACTATACAGCTTCTTGGTGGAATAAGTATAGGAAGTTTTGGTGCTGCAGCATTAGCAGTAGCTGGTTCAAACACCCTCCATTCATTGTAAATCTTAACCTATTGATTCATTAATTAATATATATTTGTGATATACATACTAATAGCTTGTTAATAATCTAGTTTAGGATTAGCACTTTATTGTTTAGTATTTATACAATTAGCAATTGGATTAATTTCAATATGGAGTCAAGCATCTTTAGTATCAGTAAATTTAGGATATCCTAGATTTTTTAAAAGAACTCATAAATTTTTAGGGATCTCTTTGTTAATTGTTTCATGGATTAATATTTACCTTGGTTAGTAGAACCAATTTTTTCTTTGTGGATGGTATTAGTTTAAAATTTTATTGATCTGAATATTTGATATAAAAAAATTAATTGTATATTATGAAATATACTGTATGTTTATTAGGCATGGTTACCTATAGTTTATCTTATGGAAAGTAAGTAGAAATATTAATACAAATAATAATTCTTATGAATAACTATAATAAATTCATCAATATACAATATATTAATTTTTTCAATCATAGGGATTTGTCACGTTATAAAGTACTATACATTGTTTGGATAATTTTCATCATACTAATATTTGTAAATTATGAATATTTATTTAATTTAAAAAATCTTAAATTTTCAAAATATATTAAATTCAATAATAATAATAATCATGAAAGTGAATGTGAGGAGGATAGCAGTGGTAATCAAAGAACAAAAATGACTATAATTAAATGTCTTGGTGATGAAAAATGTAATATATTACCAGAGTTGACATTGGATGAATTTAATGATAAAGTTCAAAGAGGTGTAAGTTTTCTAATTAAATTGGTTGGGAAGGGATGTGGGCAATTAATTAACAAAAGTTGAAACTTTGACATATGTAATCATTATTATTTTCAGGCACATTTAGTAATTTGTGATGGATTTGTTGTTGATATAAGAAAATGGATAGGTGTTCATCCAGGAGGAGCAAAAATATTGGAGAGTGTAATTGGAACTGATATTACTGATGGTAAATTAAAGATTTCTTTTTAGTTTTTTTTAGTCACAAAATTTAAAAATAATTATTTTATCTCATATTAGATTTTCATGCAAGAAATATTAATGCCAACAAAGAAAACAACAACAATCATAATGATAATGAAACAATCAAACAACACTCTTTAAAACAAAAATCTTCTTCTTCAGCAACAAAATCAAAAGTTAACTTTAATTTTAAAATAAATTATAAATTCTCAATTGCAAAAATAGTTGATGATATTAATAAAAAATATATAGTTAAATCTCCATTAGCATTTCATCCTCATAGTTTAACTGCCATCAAAAAAATGACAACAATGATAATTGCAAAATTAAATGAGAATATTAATGATCAATACCAGAATAATTATGATACTGATGACAATGTTAATGGTAATTGGTTTGTAAAAGATTCAGCAATTCATAGAATAAAATTTAAAAGATTTAAATTAATTAGTAAATCAATAATAAGTAACAATAAAAAATCACCAATTGTCAAATTTACATTTATTAGCAATAATAATGACAGTGATGATGATGGCAATAATAATAACAACAGCAACAATGATAATAGTAATATGGATTTGGATTATTTGCCTGGGCATTTTATTGAAATTCAGTCAAGACTTAAAGGTCAGATGGTAATTAGGAATTATTCACCAATAGATGGAAAAATAATGAAAAGTTTTAGTATTCTAGTAAAAATTTATCCAAATGGTCCAATGTCAAAACATTTAAATAATCGATTAATTGGATTTGAAATTCAAGCAAGAGGTCCATTTGATATTGGTGATAGAATATTGTCTACTACTCCTATCACTACTACTACAATATCGCCATTAACTGCAAAAACAACAAACTCAACAACATCTCTTCAACATCTTCATCTTCAGTATCATCAACAACTACAACAATCTCCTATTGAAATGAAATCACTTTCATTTTTATTAGCACCATACAATAATAATAATAATAATAATAATAATAATAATAATAATAATAATAACAACAATAATAATAGATTATCTAAAAATTATAATAGATTATCAAGTTATTTAGTTCCAATTACACCAACAGTTGCTACTTTACTATCCTCACCAATAATCAATAGAACTTATCTATTAAATAATAATGATGATAATAATAAATGTTGGGATAATTTATATATGATATGTGGAGGAACTGGAATTACACCAATGATTCAGGTAAAGAATATGTTTTTAACTAATTCATGCATTAATTTGGTAAATTTTATTTCTAATTAATTTATATTTTTTTTAGTTGATAAAATTTCATTTAAAACATTATAATTTTAACAATAATAATAGTAAATTATCAATGCATTTAATATATGCCAATAAATCTGTTGATGATTCAATAGTAAATTTAAAAGATTGCTATTATCATTCACTTAATAACAATAATACTAATGACAACACAAATATTGATGATGTATTGTCAATTACATATATATTTGATAAACTACCTGATAACTTTTCTGCTAGTAATAGTGAAGAGGGAGAGGAAGAGGAAGAATTACTAAGGATAAGGAAATCAGGGTTGGAAGGAAAAGTTGATAAGGATATTTTAGAAAATTGGTTCAAAAATACAATTATTAATGAAAAGGAAATAGAACAAAAGGTGGGGAGGGGATGGGAGAGTGGAAAAGAGACATTTACAGGAGATTTATCAAAAAACCCATTAGATAATTACAATAACGATTCATCCTTTGGCTTACAATCATCTTCATCCTCTTTATCAATTTCATCAATTCCATCACTTTCATCACCTTCACTAGCAGCAGCAGTGGAAGCATCGTCATCTGTTCAACCAACAGCAACAGCAACAGCAACATCATCAAATTTCTTGAAACAATCAAGTTTCTCATTGAATAGAAAAATTCATAAACCACCCCCAAGATTAAATTTAGTCACTGATATTTACAATTGTAATAATGATAATGATAATAATTTACAAAAAGTTCAGATGGAGGGAAGATTTGATTCCATAAGTAGTAGACCCAATAGTAAAATTTTTGTGTGTGGACCAATTAATATGATGATTTCAATTGATCAAATATTACATGATATGAATTTTAATGAAAATGATTATATTCTATTAATATGATTGTATTTGGGATTCGAGTTTGAATAGTATGCTTGTTCAGAGAAAATGTTCAATTAATAGATTGATGAGAAAATTGCAAAAAAAGAAATGCATATTAATCTTCCATTGGCAAAATTAAATCAAAATTAAATTTTCTATAAAGGTGGTATAAACTTTCTTACTTGTAACTAACTCTAGTTATTATAATAAAATTTACTATAAATAAAAAATCATTTCATTGCAATACTTGTAAAATAAACTAAAAACAAATTACAATATAATAACAAGCTTATAACTGAGAATGCAATGCGAGCTTTTGCTTTTTTATGTGTTACATGATTACTTTGATGTGCAACACTAGATCAAAAATTCATTTATTTTAGCATCAAAAGTTAAGTTGGGTTTTCTTCATCACAAAAAGCAAAAAAAAGACATCACCCAGGCCAAGACAATTATCTATTTATTAAATTCAAACATATAAATAGGACAACCATCCCACATTTTTTTTTGAAAGGTTTGAATATTTCCATTTAACAAAATTGGATCTTAACCTTTATTATCATCCTCAAAGATTTAAAGTAGTTAAGGCGGTATTATTTCCTAAGTCAAATGATGGTTCATTGTTGTTGTTTGCTACTAATATTATTGTTTAATGTTGCTTGCTATATATAACAACTGCTGGTTATTGATAGCAATCAGAAATTCAAAATCTCCACGCACTAACCAAATCTGAAAATCTACTGCAGATAATTTCTAAAATTAGACTAGTTTTATGTTAAGGTGTGGTCGAATTTCTAACACTGGACATTCTTTTCAATCACATTTGATTGTTAAAAATAAAATAAAATCATTATTGCTTGCTTCAAAAAAAAAATTAACATATAGCAAATAATTATTTAATTTATGAATTACAATTTAGAATTTATTTTTACAATGAACAATTGAATTATTAATGATAATAGTATTAGTTGATGTTGACGTTGATATTGTTTTTTTTTTTTTTTTTGATGGTTTTATAACAATAATTCATCATTTAACTGTAGACTAAACAACACAAATCAATCATTGAATATGCAATTTAACATATTTCATCTAAATGTTAAAATAATGTTCCAATTTGTTGGATTTTCATTTTAATGTTTATTTATATATATATAAAATTAAAAATAAATAAAAAAATAATACCTAATAATCATTAACTTGACAATCAACCATTTAATATGCAAGTTAACATGGAAAAGAATATATTTGTCTAAATATTAAAATGATAAAATATATTCACCTAAATGTTAAAATGTTAAAATATATGACATAAATGTTTTAAAAAATGATGTT